GCGGACCAAATTTCACCCAAATGATATTTTAATTTGGTTTCATAAGCACACAATATTGTTCCATTTAGCTGCTTTTTAGACACGTTTTTATTTCAGTAAACTGAAATGTTTTAACGCTCATTTTGGGTGTTAGTTGCATTTCCATCAACTATATTTACTTGGATTTTATCCAATGCATTTTGCACAACATGGCAACAGCAAAGCGTCAGTCAGGATGTTGGCTAACAGGATCAAAGTGCTGGTGCTAACTATAACCAGACTCTTGCTTAAATGTATTTTTTGTTTAAACTCTGGAAAGCTTCAGTTGAAGGCAGCTGGACTTATTTTTAGGTGCTTCTGTCAGGGACCTGGATCAGGGTGGCTGTGGCTACAATGTAGCTGCCATCACCAGTGTGTGAATGGGTGGATGACTGCATGTGTAAAGGCCATTTTACCATTTTAAATTATTTTGTGTTGCTAAAGATGACTTCAAACTAATTTAATGTAATGTTTAGGTCTTCATGCTACTAAAAATTATGGTAAATGGAATGATATATATATACACACACACACACACACACATATTATATTGAGTACTGCAAAGGCTGAATGCGCCATCTTGTGGATCAGACTGGTATTACACAAGAGCATATTTCCAGTTAATATCTCTAAATCTTGGACTTACAGTTTTAGTATTTTATTTTTTTATTTTAACGTCACAAACAAAGACATCTAAAAAAAAGACCTTTATGATAATAAGGATTTTTTTTTAAGTAAAAGCAGAACTTTCAACTTGATCAATGCAAGAGTGTGAACTGAGGATCAAACTTGCACACAGCAGGCTGGAAAATAATTTGTGAACATGTTTATTAGTGTGTAAAAGGGTACTGTGACTTTAAAAATCATTAATAGTAAAACCAGGGTCATGAAAACATTTCTTGAGGATCCAGAGCTACCAGACATCCTGCGGAGGCTTTTGGACTGAATGTTGTCCTCAAGAGGGTCAAAGTCAAAGATGGAGCCTGGGTCTGCCCTCCACACCTTCAGGTCTTCAGACAGGAGGGAACAAGATTAGGACAGAAGCAGTGACTGAAACAATCCAACATTATTAAGTCGATAAATATTCCATCACTTCATTTGAACGGACGTTTCTCTGACTTTGTTCTTGACCTTAACAGATATAAACTCAGAGGGCTGAAGGTCCAAATCACAGCTCACCTGTTCACTTAAAAAACAAACTATGAAAAGAAAGTAACAAAGTGGAAAGTGGCTCCACTTTACCATAAAATAATACTTAAACCAGACTCAGCACGTCAACCACCTGGTCCAGACCTAAACCTTGCTGTCATTTCAGGGTCTTTGGCTTCATGTGGAGGCTTTTATTGTGAAACACTATATGAATAACACATAACAGAAACTACAGGAGACAAAGGTTATTGATGAAGCATCACCTTCTTTGTAGGTCCAAAGTTCACAGTTAGAGCTAAAAAAGAATTCAACAACTAAACAACATCAGATGATTGTGTCATGTGACTCTGCTGGTCAATCCCTTACTTGGTGCAACACCACACAGCAGCCAGCAGACACACAAACCGCTGAATCCCTAACACACACAGGCTCTGTCACTAACCTACGATGATGCCTCCTGGTCGTCTGTCCATCTCTGTCACCTGGTGGTGCATGCCTTTGTTGTAGCCCGCCTCTCCCATCATCTGATTGGCTCTCTGGTAGCGCTCCATGCTGGGATCGTCCAACCCCGGCGTGAAGCCTCGACCGCGCGCCCGCTCAAAGTCCTCGTGGTACTTTGCCTGTGAAGAGCCGAGGAGTCAGTATCAGTGACCGAGACACAGTTTAAACACAGTGTAGTGTTAGACAGCACAACACACACACACACACACACACACACACACACACACAGGTCAGGATGCATGTAGTCAGTGAGCAAATAAACAAACACACACAGGGAGTGTTTTTAAATCTTTATTTGTTAACACACACCACACTCATTAAGGTCACTTGTGCGCGCACACACACACACACACACACACACACGCTGCTCTGTCCTCCGTGCGTTGGTTGGTGTTTGTTAGTATCCGTGCTGCGGTCCCACGCTCGGTGCCACATCACTCATCACTTGTGTTAGCTCCTCCCACTGCACAGGTGGGAACCACAGCAACCAGGCTGCTACCATGGAGACCGAGTCCTGTGTCTTCCTGACACGTCTGTACTCAGGTGTGTCCAGCTCATTGCAGCTCCGCCCCCTCACCTCCTGCAGCCCGCGCTGGTACTTCACCTATTTAACACACACACACACACACACACGTACATTACAGATACAGATAATACCCTGAGAGGTTACTTGTGTGTCTCTACTTCTCTCCCTGCACACTTTGGACCGGTCATCATTTCTGCTCTTCTTTCATCCATCAGCTGTCCTGTGATTGGAGTGCGTCCTGTCAAAAACCTCTGACCTCAGCGAGCAGTTGAGGAGACAATTTGAGTGTAAATAAAACGTTTGTGTGATTCAGATCGATCACGAACACACTGTCTGCCTCCTCCCCACTACAACCAGGACGCTTCAGATAATCTACACCTTGGAGGAACTGACTGAGGGTTTGTTTTGGTTTGTGTGTGTGTGTGTGTGTGTTTGTGTGTGTGTGTGTGTGTCTTGCCGAGCTGATGTTCTCCTGGTTTTGCTTGACTCTCTCCAGCTCTGGAGTCACTCCAACACTGGTGGCCTTCACTGCACTCTGCTTGTATTTGACCTGGTGGCAAAATCAGAAATGTCAGGTCAGGTGGTGCTAAACTATTCCTGTTATTAGCTTATTTAACTGGACAAGCTGTCAGTATCCAACCAGCACCAACTCCAACATGCAGTCAGTGTGTTTGAGACACTCGGGCTTCCTGCTCCACCACTTCCCCAGAGCCACACTCGGTCCTCACGCTCCTCATCCCCACATCACGACCGTGTAAACAAACCTCACCACTCGCTGACTGCTGCCCCGTTCACTTTGTGAGGCCGCCGTCTGCGTACTCACTGAGCTGATGTTCTCCTGGTTACGTCGGACTCGCTCCATCTCAGGTGTGTCCATGACGGCGGTGCCACAACCCACCTCCTCCCTGTACCGCACCTGAACAGAGCTGGAGGTGAGTCATCTGCTGCTATGAAGGCTGCTTGTTGGTGGCGGTTACTTAAACTCCACTCCCACTCAAAAACACAACCGTAAACGTACGTCACTGATCTTCTTGGCGTTCTCTCTGGCGAGGACGATCTCTGGCGTCTCTGTGACCGATGACGTCAGGTTTCTCATCATCTTTGAGTCCCAGCAGTATCGCAGCTAAAAG